TGAACTCCAATCAACAGTTTCTTTAAGCGAATTTAAACGTTAACTCCACGGCTATCCTTGATTCTTACAACACTATATTGATTTTTAGTTAGTTTAGCAGAATTAAATATTTTATTTTCTTATATTGTGCTGAAGGTATTTCCACCATGTGTAACTAAAGTTATCTATCTATCTAGACTAGCTCACAGCATTGATGTAGGTCTTAGAATTATCTCAGAACTCATTTCAGTCTCCATATCTTTTTGCAGAGAAAAGCACTGAAATAATCCATAGGAATCGAGAAAAAGGAAACTTAGATGGAGCTAAAGGGAAAATCAACCGAACACAACCCAATAAAAAGTTTTGTAAGGATGAACGGAGCGAGGGGTTTGCAGGTGCACGTGACGTTCGACTGCAAGGTAGATCTGTTGGCGAGAAAAAAATAAATAGATTACAATCAAAAGATGTGTATCTAGCAAAAGAAAATGGTAAAGTGAGTGACAAAATTGTGCTGGCGCTAGAGAGGGCCATCAACTACCATCAAATTGATCAAATTGCTGATGCGCGAAATGCTCTAAGATTTCTTTTCGTAGTATTGTTAAATATTCAGCTACAGGATCTTGAGGTGCCAAACGAGGATGGCTGGCTATGGGAAGTTTTAGCTTGGGGAAAGGAGCTTTTTCTCGAGGGTGGCGTCAGTTGCTCAATCAAACACGGAACGTTACTGTTAGATTCAAGTTATGTCGGGCAAAAATACCTTCAGGAGAAAATCAGAAGTTCTCCGATCAATAAAGTATCCTCACCCAATGACTCAAGCATCCGTGTGGAAGAGTTTTACCTGAGCGTATTAAACGTTCTGGGGACGTTCGCATTGTTAATCTCAGAGCTTGAAATTGCTCATGAAACATTTCAACTGCTGGTAGATTTTCATCATCAATTAGCCACCTCTAATTCCCCTTTACAAGACCTAGGAGCTGCTTACAACAACAAAGGATGTATTTCACTTGTTAAAGGAGATTTTTGCCTGGCAACTGAAGAATTTAAGAAATCATTGAGCTATGTAGAATCCAGAAAGCTACGACAACTTGAACGTTTGTCCACGGATACCGAGTCTGTTGCAGTGTCTAGCAACATTAGCCGCTTGCATTTGATATCTAGGAATTTTAATGAAGCCCTCGAACTACAAGAACAGCTAGAGAATGATTGTGAAGCTAGAGAGATTAACGAATTACCTTTTCAAACTATATTTATGATGATGAATAATCGAGTGGTTTTGTACACTTCTCTCGGTAACTTTAACAAAGCCGAAAAAGCTTTAAGACGCCTGAAATCCTACTGCAATAGGATGGAGAGAGAGGACTGTAATAGCCTTCTCAATTTTGTTCGTCTACATCTTTCTGAAGCACTACTCCTACAAGGAAAAACCAGGGAGGCCGAGGAGGAATTTAGCCTTAAGAAATTATCTTCTACCTCCTTCACAGATCTAGTTGACATGTTTGGAAGCCTTTACATGAATGTAAGAATTGAGGCACTTGAAAAGTTAGCAGAGGTATTTGTCCGTAGAGGACAAATCCAAATTGCCCTGAGTCTATTAGAAAAAACTGTGGAAATCATCGAAACAAGTTTTGGATCTGGCCATTTAAACCTTGCCTCGCTGTTGTTCAAGCAAGGTTCTATTTTGAGCCTCACAGGAGACTTAATAAGTGCTGCTGGGAAATTCAAATCCTCGGCTGACATATTGCAAATGATTTTTGGCCAGAGAAATCCTCTCCTCATCAAATGCTACATGTCTCTTGGTGAGCTGAAGTCGAGACTGGAGCACAAAGAAGAATCACACCTTTACTTTCAGAGAGCTGTTAAGAGCTTAGAGGTCCTGTACCAAGTTTCATTTGAAAATGAATTGTCCACAACGTACATGGAGATTACGAAAAAGCTAAAAGAGTCCTCAAGAAGCGAAGTGTCGGAAATGATGATAGAAGGTCTGGTTGCTGAGCATGGACAAGCATTGGCCGTGTTACTCCGAGAAAACAACCCTCAAGAAGAAACCTTGAGAAGATCTAAGACAGGCAAGAAACTGGTTTCTGGAGAAAGACTGGGAAATGAATGTTTGGACTCAAAAATAATGATTTCTCAGAAATATGCTATTGACTTTTTGCAGACTGGACAGAAACTGCTCCGGCAGGGAATGAAAGAGGAAGCTGCTGCCTTTTTCGAGCAAGCAGGGGCGCATTGTGAAGACCATCGTTCAAAAGAGGGTCATTTAAACGCAGAGCTAGTTCGGATGCATAGCTTACTCCTACAGAAACATTCTGGTGAATTGACAGCCGATCAAGATGTGAACAACACTTTAGAAGAGCTTAGCAAAGAAATCGAGGAAAATGAAAAATGGAGTAAAGTCAAAGAAACCACAAGAGAAGTAACAACCGCAGAGTTTGACCATCAATTCAACCTGAAGCTGTTTTTAATTTTCCTCATCATGATGTCTATTGAATTGAAAGAGATTGACACAACCTTTGCAGCATACGACCTGTATACAAAACTTTCACCCTACGAAACCGAGTTTCATTTTCTGCTCAATGACGGCATTCAAGTTTTTGCTTCGAAAACTTTAGTAACTTGCAATGGGAAGACTGCATTCCAAGATGTTCTGGTTTCCTCAACAATTGGCCCGGATGAAAGCATCGCTGAATGCCCTACTCCTGAGGAACAGGTTTTTAGAAGTTTGTCCTACAAGACGAATACCTCGTCGAATGGGTTTCTGGCTGCCTGCAGCTCACCTGTCATTCTTGATATCGATGAACTTTTGGTATTAAAGAGGAGTGTCTCACTTGCATTCAAAGAATGTTTTCAGCTAAAGCGTTTTGAAAGTGAACACGAAGATGTTGGGACTCAAATAATTGTTGACCTAACCTCAACAACAATGTATGGCCACTGTAGCATCACGTCATATGGCAGTCGTATTGAGCTCCTTCCTCTTTGTTTGACGGAAGATTTTCAAGTCGGAATTTCGCAAGAACAAAGCATTTTTGAGATTCAAACCTCAATGTGGCAAGACACTAAGTGCATGATCTTTGCAGATGAGCAAACGAGCAGTTACATGTTTAAAACTACTGTTTTAAACCTTCTTCAGGAATGCCGCTCCGACAAAACATTAACACTAGCGATACATAGTCACAGCATATCTGTAGCGATTCGTCAACCAGTGAAAGCGCGTTTGACGTTATCACATGACAAGAGGTCGATTAAGCAAAGAATCAAGTTCGTAGCAACAGCAACAGCGAAAAAGACAGCAACAGCTCTTGGGATCAAAGGATGCGATACTCAAAAGTACTTTGAAGCCTCATGCCCTAAAAGTGTGGCCGATGTGTTATCTTGGCCGGGCATCGATACCTCTGCAAAGAAATATCAAGTTGCTTACCGATCAGGAATTCACCTAGAGGACCCCTTGGATGACCCAGTTGCAGAAAACAATAAAGTGAGTGCTTCTACTGACATCTTGCAGAATGCAAAAAGGAAACGTTAGCCACAGAGAAATCATTTTAGATGAACACATATACCTATGCTTAGATTGAGAAGATTAAATGAAAGCAGCGATCAGTCTTTTCACTTAAATTTTTATCATTTGTCATTATCATTTATTATTGTTCGCATGAAAAGCTCGAAAATGTATACGTGGTATATTCTTGAAAAGCTAATATTAATGACATTTTTACTTTCTTGACGAGTTTTGGGCGGGATCTGCTCTCTGAGCTTGATAATTCGCGCCCGTTTTAAGTGAGAGATAATTAATGTATTAAATGCTTCATGATTTTTTCATGTCAGGTTCCGCCGGAACTCAAGAGCTCAGAGAACGATTCAAAAAGCAGCCTCAAAAACAGTGTTCTACAGTGCCTTATTGAAGTCGATGAGTTATCTCGATTGCTTGATGAAGAGCCATCTCCAGTTCAAGATGATGACAATGTAAGTCTGGGTTCAATTGGAGATGACAAAAGATTCAAAGATACTGTGTCTCAAACTCAGACAGGCCAGGAACTCATTCCTAGAAAAGATAACGATGTTAGTTTAGTGGACCTAAATGGAGGACAATCTACTTTTCTCGGAGGTCAGTTATACCAGGATCCTATCTCTGAAAATTCGCAGCAATCAGAAACAACATCAGGGGATGGCTCCCAAAGCCACTGTCCAACTTTGAAGGCTCCAGGTTGTGCCCTAATTGAGTCGAGCTTGCAGACGCATGAAGAAAATTTCACGCAAAGAGCAGAAGACAGCGACGAAACCTGCATGGGTAAGCTCTTGTTTGAAAGTGATAGAAAATCGAGACGCTCATTAATGGCTGAATTTCAGAGAAGTTTGAACAAAAGAAAGTCGAAATTTAAAGAGAGTTCCTTCAACTTTGAACAAAATGGTGATGAAGTGTCGATCGATTCAAACAGGCCATACACAAGTTGTATGTTCAGTCTTAAAGAAAGCCAAAAAACCAATGATGGTATTGTCGTTTATATCGGAATTCCGCACTTTCAACATCAAGCCAAAGAAAAAAACCAAAGTTCCAAGTTCTATTCGGAAAGGGAGTGTGACTCCTTCGAAGCAATTGAAGTAGCAAAAACCGATGAAGGCGCACCGACGGTACCTAAACTTATTAAAGATCCAGAATCACCAGCTCCGTCAATAAGTAATACACAACACCTCACCAGTCTTAAAATACTATCAAAAAGTAAGCGTCTGAAAGATGGAGACAGTTCTTTAAAAGATGAAGAATCAAGAGTCATTAATGAAAATTTTAAAGCTATCGATGAGAGCGAAACCACCGGAAGCCAAAAGTATTCAGTCAATTACTTGGTTTTAGAAGACACTGACGTTGTGGATGGACCCTTGAGGTCATGCGATTTTGAACGAGAGAGCTCCAACGGACAAGAAAGGTTTGGGAAGCATTACTTGCCTAGCTCCTCAAAAGCATCCCCAGTTATGAAGCCAGTTTGCCACGACGCTTCTTTTCGATACCCTTACCAAGATGATGGTACCTTCAGTACTTTGAGGCTTCCAAACGTTCAAGCTGAGGAACGAAGCCGAGAATCGACGCATGCCTTGGACACCGACTGCGAGGCACAAAGAAAACAAATTGAGAGAGATTGGTTGTCGGGAGCTCATTCCTTTATCAATTCACAAGACTCTTCAAATCCAGAAGAACAACTAAAATCTAAGCTGTTGGAAAACGAAAAAAATAACTCATCTGAAAGGTCTCTACAAAATGACTTCCTCATTCACTCGAATCATGGTATTCAAGACTCTGATGAGAATGAAACTAATGAAAGTTTTAGAACAAAGGCTAGTGAAATCCACGTGATTGGAAAATCGATAGGTGCATTCGATTTTTCTAGAAAAACACAAGAAAACTATATGGAAGACACTACGATGGCCTATGAACCCGAACCGAAATCTGAGGATATCTTAGAAGCTAATCAAAGCCATCCACCTATGACATCCTCAGATAGCTTTCAAGCAAAACGCATACAACTCAGTCCTTTTGAGGAAGCAAGAAGAAAAACGATTCCCAGTTTCTCTGAAGGGGAAAGAAGACACAGGCTAGAAGATACCGTAAAGATCAAAGGGAATGGCTATTTTAATCTCTACCCTCCCTTAGATTTAAAGAAAGGAACAGTATTCTCGTCATTTTCTGACCATGTTTCACCAGATGGACCCATCAATGGAAGTTTTCGCAAGGACCAAAGCAACTCTGATGCTACATTCATTTTAAACGCCACAGATAAAGTCGATGGGTCATGTGAACTTGAATCAGATATTTTAAACGGACCAGACGAGAGAGTTAGACCTTCTTTGTATTGCTCCTCTGGAGCAATCAAGGATCGACAGAGGAGAATACCTAACATAATGTCTTACGATAAAACTTCTTTTACCTCAATTTACCAAGGTGGCGATGTCATTGAAAGCGAAAAGGCATCCTTAGGAAGGATCAAGGATAATTTTGACGAAAGGATTATCGCAAACGAGCCCATCCCAAATTGCAGTGAAAAGATATCTCAAGGCTTTCCTTCCAGAGCTTTCTCTTGCAAACCTGAAGATGTTTTAAAGGAAGAGGCGATAGCACCTGTTACATACAATGATCATGGGGGAGCAAGGCCAAAACGAAAATTAAATGACTCGAGGAAAGGTATGATTATCCCCACAAAGACTAATTCAAGGTCATATCCTATTTTTGTAGCGCGTCACATTAACGATGATAGAAATCCGGATTTCTGTATCAATGCTGGTAACTGTGATCATGCTTCAGTTGAAGGTCATCAGCAGGACGATCACAACCAATATTTCCTTTTATCTACAGATCATGGAAGTTTCTCCTTCGGAGAAAAAGATGCATCTTGCGAAGAAGGATATACTCAATCATGCCATGTCTCTGATGAGGGTAGGATAAGTTGCTCTCAGAGAGACCTCTTTGTGACAAAAAACCGTTTCATACCTCAGTCATCGCCTTTGAGTCAAACAGAACGCCCTGGTTTGTCATCTCGCGTGTGTGATGAAAATTTGTCACTGCTGCCGTCAAGGCGATATTGTGTTGACGAGGGGGACCCTGTAATTCCTGAGCCCAAGTCATCATTTAATAGCCCTTATTCACGAGATGCTGTCAATAGTGTGAAATCGACGATGAACAAATATGACAGTAGTACGAAAAACATTGACTGTGGACTTACCCAAATTTCCACAAGTGCTGAGGATGAGGTTTCATTGATAGAGCATTCTTCAGGTTCTCTTCTTGGATCTTTGCAACAAATAATGGCCCAAACTGTCCAGCTTGTTGCGTCAAGCGTCACTCCCGCAAACAAGGCTCAATGCACACTCCAGTCAGTCGAAAAGGTGGGCATACAAGAAAATGCACGAAATTTTAGAGAACAAGAGGTATCCATTCCATCACCTATCAACGAATCAAGTAATCAAGAGGTCTTTACGCAAGTCAATGAGTCCACTTTAGGAGCTGATCGTGAGCAACAATCCATAGCCACACCTGTACAGGAGACTCCACGCCCTGTTTGCAGTCATTATCAACGCCGATGCTTGGTCCGGTTTCCCTGCTGTGGAAAGTTCTTCCCTTGCCATCGTTGCCACAACGAGTCTGATTGTACTGAGGATCAGGCAAGAGCAATCAATGCCACACATATACGCTGTACTATCTGCTACAACGAACAAGTGGTAAGAATTTAAATGAGAACAGAATATAAGTTTTCCTCGCTCTCTATTTCTGAGACGAGATATACAGCAACATCGCAAAGTTCTTCCAGATGCTGTCAAATGGTCATGTTAAACGAAATATTAGAAATTGACTGCGGGAGTAATTTTCTTTGTCTTATTTGTATGACATTCTCCATGCATTTCAGATCGATGAAAATAGCCAGAGGTGCGGCTCCTGCAACTCGAAAATGTCTGAATATTTCTGTGCAACATGTAAACACTTCACGTCGGTTGACAAGAATCCTTTCCATTGCACGAAGTGTGGGATCTGCAGGTTAGATATTATTCCCCGGCCATGTTCAATTACTTCAGAATGTTTCAATACATTATGAATTCAGCCTTGAAATAGTTCGAGATCTTTTACATAGTCTTAAGAAGTAATAGCTTTTGTCAGCCTCGAACGCACTAACCTCCTACACAAGCTTCTGTCTTTTAGATACAGTCTTTGACGAAGAATTTTCCTTTCTTAGTGCAAGCGAATAACTATGTTGAGGCAATTTGAAGGGGAAACCTGAAGAATTGCCGGGGAAGGATTATTTGCTTTGCCACAGTTTCCATCTGGTATAGAGGGAGTAGTATTAACCTAGTGAGTGTAGTTGTTCTGGTGAGGGTAGGTTTCCTATTCATTACAGAACAAACTTTTTTTTTTCTGCATTACTTCTTATTTATTTGAATAGAATCCATAGCGACAGATCCTTCCACTGTGATGTTTGTAACGTATGCCTGGACAAACGTCTTGAAGGAAAACATAAGTGCAGACCTGATTCGGGACACGATGAATGCTGCATTTGTCTGGAGGTGAAGTCTTTCTGTTTATGGCGTGAACAAACATATTCGTGATCACATGTGCTCAAACGATTTTTTGTTATGCAATATGTTTTCATTTACTTTTTATTTATTTTTTTTCTTTATAACTTCTTCCTACTGCTTAAGGAGATCGTAATTCTTTAAATTTATCTTCTCGTCAATCTTTTAACGCCCAAAGGATTTGAAAAAATATCTTTAAATTGAAATTGCGATCTTTTTTTTACGTTGTTTACAGGATGCCTTCAGTGGCTGTCAAATTCTACCCTGCTCTCACAAGGTTCACAAAGACTGTGCAATTGCAATGATACAAAATGGGGTGTAAGTACACTTGTTGAAACGTCTTGTATTCATTGAACACCTCCTGGGTATCTCAGGGCAAATCCTATCACTTGGTGCCATTGGCCTGGAAAGTTACTGCGAAAATAACTTAACAATGCAGAGGTTGAAAAGCCAATTTTTTTGTTTCAATATTTGCATGATTTATAATCAAGTTCATGGGAAAGGGGAGACACTTAATTTTCCTTCCAAACTGCTTCACTGGTACAATTTTAAAAACCGTATCTGCAAGGCACCTTTGTTGTTGTTTAAACAACCTAAAATATATGAAGAATAGAAGCATCGTAGTTCGTAGTGTATTCTACAAGTGCATATGATTTGCCTTTTTGTCATTGATTTGTGCTCTTGATTTCTTCGTGATGTTTTCTCTCTAGTTTCTGTTTTCCTGTGATAGCTTGGGTGGCCTGTAAGTGCCATTCAAAATGTGTGGAAAGAATAGAAATTGGTGTAAAAGTCATAACTGTGGATCCAAAGTTCTGACTTTGGATCCCTCGTACTAACTTTGGATCTATACTTATGACTTTGGACTCGTGTTTGAAACTTCTACACCAGTGCTTAAAATACATCTTACTCGCAATTAGAATAGTACTTACTGGCCACCATAGATGGCTGGTTTTTTCCTTGAAAATGAATTTGATCCTTTGTTTGGTAGTAACCTCTATAATGTATTTTTTTTTCGCAGCCGAACGTGCCCGATATGCCGACATCCGTTGTTCGGCCAACTTCAAACTAGTCCTCAGTAACAATTTAAAAAAAAAACGATAATTCAAATTGAAATAACTATACTCAAAAAATAGATCACGAAGATAATTAACGTCTCACTCGTGCAGAAATTTTGAAATCAAAGATCGATTTGTGACTTGATTTTTAATGCTAACTTGTCCAAACTGTTGCCATGGATGGAATTTTGTAGTAACTAAGTTTGCTACCATATTATTATATTTTATTTTTGAACTTCGATGGCTGTTGCAGCGCGGGACACAACAAATGACACATTTCTGAACCGGCAAGACATAATTTTTTTTTAACTAAGAAAGGATTGGTCGAAAGAAGAATATGCACCCACAAGATAGAAGAGACAAGAAAACATTAAAAAATAGAAAAAAACAAACAAACGAAAAACACAGGCAAACGTATAAACAAAAACGAAAACAAAAACATACAAAAAAACTAACAGTCAAGAAACTAAATAAATGATAGTGACAAATAAATATACCAAGAGAAAACTAAACAAACAAAGGAATCTACAAACAAACATACTAACAAAAATAAAACAAATACGAAAACCAAGGGAGAGGGACACACCCTTAACAATTTGGAAGGTTCCCTTTGTTGTCGTTCATTCATATAAAAATAATTATCATCGATTTTGAGTAGACGGTAAGATCATTATAACTGAGGACTCTCCTGCACTGGATGTGAAAGAATACACCCGCTGGAATGCAATACTGGTAAGTTCTCCTGTCTCTTGCATTGGAAATTTAACCTGTTAAAGTATTCCCCTTTCTTTGGAGCCAAACATGTCACTGGTAAGGATTGAATCGGTTGGCTAGACTCATAAATACAAAGGGATACAGTTCTCTGTTAATTATTCTTATCTGCGAGCGATTAGATTATGGTATACTGTAGAGTAAATGTCTTTGGGTCTTTAGAATTTACAGATTGGGAAGAAGTGTAACTGGCTAGAAGATCTAACCAATGTTAATCCTTTAGGGTTCACGATATACGGGTAGAAAAGTAAAGCAAATTCCAGAATAAAGCTGCAACTGGCAAAGAGTGACATATCTAGGTAGATTGTGTTTGGTCAGTTTCTGTCCCAGACAGAGTAATTTGCAACAGCGATCTCAGGTGTGGAACCTTCGCTCAGCTTTTCAGGTCGATATTTCCTCTTAAGATCTACGTTTATTTTCCACGTTTCTTTTGAATAATAAATTGGTTCATTACCCGCTAATCAATCGGCTTTCTCTTATGATTATGAAAATAGTGACATCTAAATGCTTACTTTAATTAAAAAAACTGTTGGAAACAAATTATTCAGAATATAAATCATTGAAGCTATGACATTTGGTTTTTTTATGTAGACTTTTCTACGCTTTCTTCACTGTCTTACACTGTACTTATCTGTCGTGGTTATTTTTTTGCAGGTCTCAAGGAGAAGGAATGGGTTCTGTGATCTTCTTTTTTTCTTTGGAAGAAATCTGTTGATTCACTGTTTAATATGTTTAACAAATGGAATGCTTTACATGATAAAGAGAGGTCTGCTACTTATTTTGTCTTCATTTTTCAAGTATGGAGTATGGAGTAAGAGAGACCACCAAAAGAGGGCATCGAAGGCATTAGCATTAGCATTTGAGAGGCATCTCGTAGAAAATCCTTTTATCCTTCTATAGAGAGACGCAAATATATCGCCGATATTCGCCTCACTTTCCCGGTCACCGATTTTCTAAGACGGTCCGAAATTAACCTGGTAGTGTGGGGATGTTACCATTAAACTAAACCAAATTGAAATCACAAGGGTGCAGCCCGTGCTTAAATGCAAAACTTGACGCAATTGGATATCCTTATCCTCCTTAAAGCGCAGACAATAATTAGCTCATATAATCTTGATGTCTGTAACCATATGTACTTTGTCTTCTAATTTTCTCCAAATTTCATTTACCCATTTTTTATTGAGTGCACTTATTGTACTTACATAGTAAGCTCTTTATTTCAACTAACATAAAAATATATAAACAGAAAAAAAAATATGTATTTAATTGGCAATCTAGCATTTTAACTAATTAAAGCTATTTCGAGCTGTCATTTACCCTTCATTTACATTTTTTGGTGATATTGAGACTATTGTAACTGTAGGTAGGGGATGAATTATTAAAAGTGACTTGTTGTAGTCTTTGTTGCAATTTCCATGCCAAAGTAATATAGACGACGAAAAATTGTGGTGGATTTAATTTTTGTCAACAATAAAGCGTGATCGTTGAGAAGATGCAAAAAAACTTTATAAACCTCCTACATCGACAAACGAAGAACAATACCAACGAAGATGTTGATAAAAATCACAATTTTAGTCTTTTATCTTGTTATTGCATGTTTGCCTCTCAGTAGTGGCGAAACGATAATTTTCCAAATTGGTGATCTCGTGGTACCGCTCAGCAAACCTAAATAGCACGATCGCACCGTTTTTCAAAATTAAAAAGGAAATACGGAGGTAAATAGCCAGATCGTTTAACCCTTTACACCCTAACATCAGTATGCATATTCTCCATACTGTTCTCTATACATTTCCTAATGTGCTGACAAGGAGAATTTGTTCAACGATCAAGAGGTTCTTCCGTTGATTATCATCTTTATTCTCATGACCTTAATGTTTGATTCAGGGATGATATTGTAAGGAGAAATTAGATGTTAGTCACTCTCTGGGATTATAGGGTTAAGAATGACATGAGGAACTCAGACCTCGAGCTATCCACTAAAGGCTTAGTGGTAATTCTTTTTATTCCAAATAAGATTATATCCTTTATCAAATGGTGCGAATGGTCCAAATACCCATCGCAACAAAAATCTACACTCGTCACACTGTTATCACAAATCCCTTGTCAAGGAAGAGAATTGAATTTTTGATCAATCATTGACTGATTTTTTTCAACACTTTGCTTCTTCAAATTGGCCGGGGCGTCTAAAAATCCAAATTTATAAAATTTACTGTTGTTCTGTATGATATTGGTGGGGTAGGATGGTACAATTCTAAGATTTCAAAGTTGGCTATTTAGGGAAAAATGAATAGCCGACAATCATTCCCCTTTTAAAGGAAAGATTCTTTTCAATTAAGTTTGTCCAATATCGAAATGTGTAACAGCTCCTACCAGAAAGGCTTGAGTGCTGAATGAGAGCAAAAATGTTTTCTTTGAAATCGTATAGCTGTTGAAAATACTTTTGTTCTAGAATTTTTTGTTTACCTCGTGGGAAGTCAGGCGTCTTAGCGCTAGAAAGTTAACAAAGGTTCTAGAGCAATTACAAATTCACAAACTTGATCAAACAAAGTGCTTGATCAGTTATGGTT